TCTCGTTCACATGACACGAAGTTTGCATTATAAGCATACAAGGTCTCGTACACGCCAGCAAACATTGCGAGACTACAAAATGGCGGTGCCCTGTCGCCGAATGTAAACAAACCGCGCGATTGCATAAACGCTTATCTATGGCATGGAACACCAAAATCCGATAAATAATTTTAAAAAATGTGTTTCTCCGGAAAAAACCGGAGGTTTTCAGGATTTTTTAGAAATATCCGGAAGACTTTCATCTCTGTTTTCATAAACAGATTTTAATGTGGTATTTTTAACTGAATTTGCATTTTTGTTAAACTTCTTAAATGCTTTTTGTCTACTATATTCGAATCAAATCCTCTATCAATAGCTATATACTTAATTAAGAACAATTCGTTATTTAAATCTTCATGTCTTGAACATATTTTTAAAGCTCTATAAACACCTGTATAAAATGCTGATATTTTTGGGGTTTTTATATGACATGATTCTTTGTGTGGCAGCATAACAAAATAAGAAATAAGAGAAATAAGAAATGGACATGCTTTGTCGTGGAGAAGAAAAACACCTTTCCAATTGATGAGTGAAGGGCGTTTCTGACAAAGGGCTTGATTTAAACATTCCAGTAGTTGACTATAGGTCTTTGCATTAACAGTTCACTGTGGATTGATTTACCTGAATGAATTTTGCTGAACCATCATTGACACTTAAGAATGTTCAAAACATTTCCATAAACTTCTTTGATATTCTTTGTGGCTACAGAGGTTCTCTTCTTGTATTCAAAGATCATTACACAACAAATGTGTGTCTCATCATGTGCCATCCCTATAAGGGATTAGAGTATACTAAACTTTACACATTATATAGGCTACACTAACTTCATGTTTAGGTGGTTCATTTAACTATTATACATTTTTTGGGGGATGGTTAATTAAAGTGTTCCAAAACGCGACATTAATTTCTTAACGTCCTAATATTTCAAACTTAAATGTTGTTATAGTATTTGCTTCATTTCCTAAACTAATTTTTATGTCTGGGCAAAAAAAAAGTGTTATAATTTCTCTATGAAATGTAATTTTTCTTATAACAAAGTTTTTCAAATTACCTCTCCTTGTTGACTGATTATTGGAACATGATAGTCAAGTGTAACATCATGGAAGAGAACTTCTAAGAAGATGTTACCAACACCAATCAGATTATGATTTTCCTGAGTTTCATAGAATGGGTCCATTCTGTTCAGTGAGGTTTCATCCTGTAGATACCACATATAGAAAAGATTTTTAACCAAAATGATAGAAAAAACATTTTGCAACATTTGAAGAACACTCTCTGAAAACTTGTACACTAACTGCAACTGAACATGAAGGAATCATTTCCTATCACACAGGCTGTTTTAAACTCCACTTTCTGAAAATATATATCCTACTATACTAAATCAGGATCTTTTCAATAATCATTCTCTTATAAAAACTTTTTAAATATAGTGTTTCCAATTGTACACACATTACTAACAAAGATAAGATGACAAGACAAAAAATTCTGAAAGAAATACACTTTATTAATCATAATTATTTACTTAAAATTACTATATTACTTTATGCCTAGAGATTAAAAATTGGATTTCAGTGATCATTTAATTTTAACATTACAACTTTCAGTTTTTATTGTTTCAAGCAAAGTCTTGAGTATAAACATTTATAAGTAATTCATTGTTTAAAAAAAACATCCAAATTATTATGAAAATATCATAAGACAATGCAATGAATGTTAAAAACATTACACTTATAAGATATTTATCTTGTTTTAGCTGTGGCATCTATCAGAATTCTAATATTCTTACTGTTGTTTGAACTAAAACAAAATATTTTGACATTTTTTGCAAACTGCTTTTAAATTTTCACCTTTTATTTTTCAACAGTTATTTAGAATTTAAGTTAACAATACACATTCATCAGATTTTCATTGGGTATACTAAGGTAGAATATTCAAATATGTAGAAATGTTTTTCATAAATTTGCAACTGAGCTACCTGAACTGATGCACTAGAGGGAAGGAAGATAGTAATACCCACTACCATTGTTTGTACTACTCTAATTAAACAGTGGAATTTAGCCATAGCTCTTATAATGCACCCATAGTCCTAAAGTACAGAGCAATATTCTGTGGCAATGGAACATGACCCATGGACCCTCAAGTTCACAGTATGACATTCTAAACACTAGGCCACACTCAAACAATAGAAGTAAAAATTGATTTGCGTGATTAGGTGAGCTTTTGCTACCAAGACCTTTCCTATATACAAACAGAATAGTCTTTGCATCCACAGCAGAATTAGACTCCTTGCTTTCTTTCTTTTATTTTGTGAATTCTGTTCATTTCTGTGTGTTTGTTTTTCTTTCTTATAATTCTTAGTAATAATATATATTAAATACTATATTAACAATTTTTTGATTCTACACTTACATAAATATTTACAGACCCTGCCAGATTCAAATATACCACTGCATTTCTAAAATATATGCTACTATAAATGACTTTCTTATAAAATTCAAGGAGCACTATTTCATTTAAAATCACATAACTTTCATTATTTTTTTTCAGTTCAGATATTTCTTAAAAGCTCTATCTGTATCAATTGTTTGACATTTCAGAATATACTTCATGGCATGGAGGAAAACTGTAGAAAGACTATATATACATGTACAAAATGGGCATTAAAAAAATAAGATTCAATTTTACCTTTAAAAGTAGCTGTTTTTCTTTTCTTTCTTCGTACATATCTCTCATGTCTATCAACTTATTCTCCAGCTTCTCCATTGACCATATCTGTTTTGATTTATTGATTCTTTTCACAAGAATTGCTGGTTCACTTACAAAAGCCCCTCGCTAAGCAAAAATAACATAGATATTATAACAATGGCAAAAAAATAATTTTACTACTCTTTTAACTCGCTAAAATCCTAACACTTCCTTCTTAATAAACTTAAATGTAAAAATGAATAAAAATTTCTCACTCAGTTGTAACATTAATAGCAAACTGTTGATTTACAACACCTGTCAAATATAACATACTAGGAAATAAGTTCCATAAAACATCTTTATGCTTTCATAACTTACTTGTATTCAGCAAAAAACATAATACTAATGTCTTTGACAAAGAGAATTTCAAGATTCCTAATATTATGTTTTTTATAAAGTTACAGTTTGTACATTAAGGAAGAATATTTTTTTTAAACACATACAATATTTTGATCACTTGTGTGATTATTCTCAAGTACACAGGTTTTAATGGTAAATAATGTTTTCTTATTAAAAAAATCTAGGAAAACATTCTTCACCATTAAAAACTGTGTAATTGGATCACACCAGTAATCAAAACATGGTACCTGTTTAATAAAATATTTTTCCCTACTGGAAAAGCTATTACTTACAAAAAAAAACACTTATAATCAGTAATTAAACTCAAATGAAACTATTCATTCCTTATACTTGTTTATTCTTATTAAACACTGTACATATACAGTCAAATCAAAACAACCATATTGTATTATTCACAACTACAAACAGTAAAATTAAAACAATCAAATTACATTATTCATGATTACATACCATCAAATCAAAATAACCATGTTATATTATTCATAACTACATATACAGTCAATTCAAAACATTCATATTACATTATCATGTTTATACCTACTGTCAAATTAAAATATCTAAATTACATTATCATGATTACACATACTGTCAAATTAAAATAGCTATATTACATTACTTACAAGCACACATACCATTAAATCAATCCAACCATGTTACATTATTCACAACTACATTCAAATCAAAACAAACATATCAAACTGTTCATGATTACACATACAGACATATTACATTACTCACAATTAGATCTGCCATAACAATATATTTTACAGCATCAATGTAACAAACTATCAATAGCCTTACTAAAATCAGTCATAAAAATAAGTTTATTTTTTTCATCAATTGTTAATTCATTTGTTGATGCTTTACATTTAATGTATTTAATGTGCATCAAATCTGATTGACTTGGAAAATAACCTAGATTTTCAAAAAAATCAACTTCTCTCAGAAAATATTATAATTTTCCTACACTGAAAATGTATTTCCAAATATGTACTTCGCTCCTCTCACAAGATTAGCTGTTGTCATTCAGTGCTGCCCTCTATATGCAAACTTTTTATTATGCATGCCACAAGCCTTCCACACCCCCTATAAAAATCAACTGATTCCAACGTGTGTCTCATGCAAATCATCCTATGTCACTTCACCACCAATAGGAGAATAGTACACTCATGTGACTCCCTCTGTGTGCCTCTACCAAACTATCACTTTGAAGTTTGGCAGATGACAGAAGCACTAAAAGTGAGTTGGGAGGAAGGGTGGGAAGTGTGAGTGGAGGGAAGTACCTATCAGAAATACATTTTCAGTATAGGAAATTATAACTTCCAATACAGTATTTCCCTCCACTCACAAAATTAGCTAGATTCCCACATTGATTAGGAGGAGGGACTGGTGCAAGGGAAGAACATACGTACTCCCCAAAGTGTCCAATGAGAGAGTCAGATTGGAAGATATGAAAAAGGGAACCACACCACTTCTGACCAAGGTATACTCTTTGCCCATCTGTGGAATGAGCAAGATATCATGGCGGAAATTCAAAGGAGCACATCCGAGTGGGAGAGAATGTGATAGAAAGTGATCCAAACCAGACAAAATATCCTATCTCAATCCCGCAGTGAAAAAAAGTGGGTAAACGAGGATGTGTCCATGGTGTAGAACAGCTAGGGCACAGTGGACTGCACTGGGTAAGTCAACTACATCCAAAACCTCCTTGAAGGGTACCGACATCTGCGCAAGGGTAAAATGAGGATCATACTGTCTTCACCTCATACCCAAGAACCAGAAATCTGAGAACAACTTCAATTTCTGATTATTACACAGGATTAGTACTGAGCTATAGATCCGGAAATGTGATATCTGGTATCAAAAGGAAGTCTATCGCATGCAATCAACTCCCTAGACCGTGAAACAGGTCAGAACCATCTAAAGGGCAATAACATCCGTGTAATACGAGAAAATGAGGGATAGCCAAGGATAGAGCCGATACAATCTCATGTATCATCACAGTAACCCACAACACAGATGGAGAATCGAGGGAGGAAGATAGACAACCTGAACCTGTGTGAGGACTTATGTTGATTGCTTCACTCTAACTCTAAAATCAGCCCATGAGGTACCAACATCCACGTGAGAGTAGGATGAGGGCTCCCAACTGAAGGGTGAACTGCATTGTGATGTATCACTCTTTTGCATGGATAATTGCAAATTGAAAGATATACATCATCTACATTGGCAGAACACCACCACCCTACTCTGAACTGAATAGTTATAATCATCTTATGTGCAACCCATCCAGCAGGGTGCCTGCATGGTCAACCATCCCAGCAGCTTGGAAGTGGTAAGTGTAAAAAATCCCGTACTCCACTAGAAGAAAAGGGGGCTGAGAATGCGTTGAAGAGCCTGGAGGAATGTCTACACCCAAGACAGTGCAATGAGTGATCACAAAACCCTATTTTGAGTGAAAGAATACCTGGTCAGGCACCACAGGTTGAAGGCGAAAACCCGAGGAAGCTGAAACCGCGATATGATGTAAGTAATGGGAGATGAACATGGTAGGGTTGGTCCACATGCCTGATTGTAGGATTTCCTCCAAAGGCCAACAAAGACGAGGGAAAAAGTGAGGAGTTGGATTTGATGAGAGATAACATAGAATAAAGTATGGTGGGAAGGGGACAAGGAGGAACAAGCTAACTAGATCAAACAAGGAATTTAATTGGTGAGGGCAAGGGATAAAGAGAAGAGAAGAGAAAAAGAGGGGAGGGAAATAGATGAAGAGGAGGAGTTACCCTCATGAGCAGCCAAGGTTTTGGGAAAGAAGTAATGATACAGATAATGGAGGAGATAGGTAAGGTGTTAAAATGAGTGAGTAACATTGATTGGCAAGCAAGTCAGATCTCCGACACCCACAGGCCAAAAGGAGAAGGAAATATGCTTGAAGGGAATGGAGGACCACATTAATGTCCCAATCCAGAAGAACAGGTCAATGAATCTGGAAGGAATGGATTAACATGGTAAGGATGGAAGAGAGAAAATCCCTGCAGTAACAGGAGAGACGATAGGTGTGAGATAAAGCTGCCCAATCACCTGAAATCGAAGAGTCCAAAGACCCCGAGTTGAAAAGCCATGTGAGAAACACAGAGACACCAGCTACAGTAGAAAAAGCAGCTGGAAATCCCACACAACAGGAGAAACCAGCTATCCTTACCAAGGACAGGACAAAAGCCAGGTGTGAAGACGGAAGAGTGAATTGCAGGATGTAGCACCAGTGACTGGGGTAATAATGGAAGTGGTACAGGGGGAATAGTTGTAGTTGGAGTAAATGAGGAAACCATGGTTGAGCTGGCCAGTAGGGAGCAATCAAGAGGACCCAGCATGGAGTGGCATGGATAACGGAAACTACCCAATGAAGCAGTTGGATAGGAAGATAAACATAGAGGAATCTGTGTGACAAATTCTTGCTGAAGGTATCTATAGCCAAAGCCTGAGGATGAGATACAGGGGATCAAAAGAAGGGTTACTGATGACTTAGGGCCATGGCAAATGCATCGATGGGAGGAATAACCCCACCAGAAAATGAGAGGATGAAGAGACCACTCCGTCATGTAAATCCTGAAGGGATGCATCAGTAAAAAAGATGTAAAAGCGAGTCTTGTCTAACCACCAAAGGTGATTGTATACTAAGGAAGAAGGAAGTGTTATGGGAGCATCCAATGGATCCTGAGCAAGGTTCCATTGATCGTGCAGAGCTCATTAAAGGGAGCACATGTGTGTACAGCCAAGGGGGATGAATGGTGTCACAGAAGACCACATCCCCCAAAGCAACAGAACCTCACGTACAGAAAGGGAGGGAACAGGTAGGGCATGGTGAACTGACAATTCCATAGAACGGAGTCGTGGAGGAGAAGGTTGAGCCGATTGAGGTGAGTGTGGAAAAAGACACCCAAATGCACCAGGTATTGGGTAGGACACAGGAAGGACTTCTCCAATTTTACCAACCAGCCCAACCAAGCAGCTTCAAGAAGTATCTGACAAGTATGACTGGCTGACTCCTGTTTGGAATGGGCCAGAAGTAGCCAGTCTTCCATGTAAAAGTGGAAATGCAACCCCAGAGCATGAAGATGAAGAGCAAAAGCTCTTACTACCCAGCAGAAACATAATGAGCCAGCCCGAGGGTAAGGGCGCAAAATTGGTACACTGTCCCTTGATGGATGAACTGAAGAAATGGGCAAGTTCATTCCGAGATGGGAAGATGTAGATAAGCATTGGAAACATCCATCTTGGTCATCCAAAGACCCGGAGAAAATGCCCACCGAATAGTAAGGTCTCCATGGTGTAACAGGGGAGGTGAACGATGACAGGCCTCCAGTCCCCAGTCTTCGTGGGAACAACAAACAGATGGAAGTAAACCTCGGTGAATGATGTGGAACAGGTTCCATAGCCTGGTGTGCGGATAGGTCCCATACCACTTCTGATAGAACTTGGCAAGTTATGGAATCTTAAGGAGAAAGGAAGTAAACAGGTACCCAGGACAAGGGAGGTGGGGTAAGAAAAGGAATGTTGAATCCCTCTGATAAAACTTGACGAACCCAAACATCGGAGATGAAAGGGCACCACCGATGAATGAAGGTTTCAAGTCGAGCTCCCACTGAGCCCGAACCTACCTGGTAGTCACTGGAACTGTAGGTGGTGTAATGTGCATCATCGAGAAAAATGACTAACTGTGGCACCACAGGAAGGAGGGAGAGGTAAGAGTTGGGAAGGACGGGAAACCAGAATTGATGCCACACTTGGCTCTTACTGAGATAAATGGGTGACCAGATAGAAACAGTAGATTGTTGCTGGATGGATACCACCCAAGACTCCAAGGGCTCCAGGACCATATCAAAGAGGAAACATGTTTAAAACGAAGCCATATGCAAATCCTTATGATAAGGAGCAGGTAAATGGGTTCATGATAAAACATCATCTCAACATAAAAGGTTCCAACAACAGATAAACAGCATTTGTAAAGACAAATCTCAGGACGACAAATGATCCAACATGGAGGTAAGGAGGGAGAGGATGTCTTCAGAAAATCCCTTAGGATTTTTGTGAAGAGCCTCAGACAAGAGATGGATTGTGGAAAGGTACCACAAAAGAGTCATGAGGGTTAGACAGATGCAGGAAAATTGGGCATTGGTGAGAGTAACGGGCGATTCAGAGCATGCCCCCCAAACAGATAAAACTGAAACCCAACAATTGTTGGTTGAGATATGGACAGTCAGCCCTATGATACATGAGGGCAGACTGATCCAAAGCCCACAGTGGATGAGGCATACTAACACCATCACCCAACTGAGATGCTACTTGTTCAGCATGAACCCGATTATTGGGGGATGGGGGAAAAAAAACATATAGGGTTGGGAAGTATATTCACGCAGTAATGAATGACACAGATCATAAGATATGGAAGCAAGGAATAAACCATCCCATAGCTGAGAAATAAAGTCCGAGAAAACCATGGAAGGCTGAATAGAATCCTCAGGAAGGGTATAGGAAGGCAGAGCAAAATCAAGAGGAGGAAACAGGTGATAAAAGTCCTTGGTAGCCTTCCCAGGTTCCATAGGTTCAGGAGGAAATGGAGTAGTGTTTAGAGAGAGTGGTTGACCCATATAACGTTCAATCTCCCTGCTCAAAGTATAGGTAAATATCCCTATGAATCGCCAGCACCTGAAGCCTATTGTACAGCATATTTCAAATGTTAAACACCTGAAGTGGTGACATTAACTTCGGAATTCATGTTGTAACAGTCGACAAAAGCATTGGAATTAAGAAGTAAGTGTGACTAGAACAAGGGTAAGTGAACTGGAATGCTTTAAAAAATTAAGTACATGAAATTAAACCACTTCGAGAACTAATTGAACATTAATCAAGATGAAAAAAGAAATGTGTCGGAGTGCAAAAGCTGACAAACGAGAAGTGATAGTTTGGTATAGGTACATACAGGGAGTCACGTGAGTGTACTATTCTCTTATTGATGGAGAAGTGACACATGATGATTTGCATGAGACACACGTTGGAATCATACTTGTGGCATGTGTAGTAACAAAATTCGCATATAGAGGGCAGCACTCAACAAGAATAGCTAATCTTGTGAGTGGAGGGAAATACCATATCAGAATTAGACCATTCTTACCTTTCGGTTAGGGCTAAGGTTTGCTGCTGGGATTTGCAGGGTTACTTTGAACTCAGTTTGTTTGCCCATTTCAACTGCTAAAAAATTAGCTTCTCTCACCAAAGCATTGGCTTTAACAATGTCTTCTCTGAGTTTAGCCAGGCTTACTTTAAAAACTTCATCCCTTAAAGTAAAAGAAATAAGATGAAAGTTTTATTTTGCTAAGAGTTTAAACAGACATGCTTTATGTGTATAATCACAAGGTGTTTTGAGTCATTGTGAAAACAGAAATTTTTGCATCAAATTATAATGATGTTCAAAACCTAATAATAATAATATAAACACATGGAACCCTTTATCTTTGAAAAACTGTTAATATGTTTGTATCATTACACCAAATTTTTTGTGTCTGCTGAAACTTACAGACTAAAGTGGCATGGACAGAATAGGCAAGTACAGGAAGCAAGTATTAAAATTAAGTTGTATAATCCCATTTAAAAATCCTCATGAAAAATCAATAACTATAAAATTTCAACCTCTCTTTTGCCCATCTTTCCATCCTGGATTGCACGCTAGAGTTGGAGCCAGTAGGAGTCATTTTGCCTAATCCTAAAGGGTCAAAGGGTGAATATGAAGAATAGGGTGTGCTAGGAGACATCTGGTTTCGTAACATTTGTAACTGTTTCTCATACATTTGTCGTTGTTTTTGAAGTGCATCTACAGGTAAGACAAACAAACATTTCTTAGAAATACCAATAAGATTTTATAACAACAATTCTAACATAATCTTGAGTAAATTATATTTTTGTGTACATTAATCACTAACACCTATCAAAATAACAAAAAAACATTAAAGCTTTTTTAACCATGTTTAACGACTGTTTCAATAAACAATTCATCACTTTTAAGATAATTATTTCAAACCAATCAAACAGAACTTTTATCTTATTTGCATTAACTACAATGCCAAAAATCACCAAAGTGAAATAGTCATTAGCACACTTTATTATTTATTTCATGAAAATAACAATATATATATATATATATATATCTACTACATACATAAAAAACAAAAAATACACCTGTGAGTATATATTTCACATGAATAAATACTTAGTTATACAAACAAAATAACAATAATAAAATGTATATAAAAAAAAAAAACATTTGCACAATAACCTGATACCTAAAACAATTGAATTGTAAAAACTTATATAATACATTCAATAACAAGAAAATGTATTTTAATATGTTCTTCCTTCAACACAGGAGTCTTTTCAGTACACACCAATTATCATCTGTACAATAACTAAAACATCATCCACTTTAGGCTCAGACAGACAAACTTATGTCTGTAAATTCTACATATTTAAAAAATTACTTCAGATTCTGGAACACAAATAATATCACTATTAATTTTGACTACTGAGAAACACAAGGGAATTTTCCCCTACATTTCTGATTATAAGCATACACATGGCATGAAAATGTACCAACCACACAAGTTTCTCTGGACATAGCAAAAAAATAAAAATTATGTAACATATTAGGTCATCAAGAAAT